TTTGCCTTCTTTTTATGCAGTTTGATTTTTTGCAGTTTCCATTTAATATTCATTATATCTTCAAAATTTCAGCTGTATAAAAATGCTGGGGAAGATGTCATTCAACTCTTTGATCTTTCTGTTATTCCCAAGAACTGTTCTTCTAATGAATGTGATGATAGCTCAAGCTCCCTTCCTTCTATATTGCATCGAGGAAGAAGTGATTCTCTGTATTCATTGGGGACTCTCTTGTATAGAAGTGCTCACAGGCTTTCACTTTCAGTGGTATGGAAGAAATTTGACTACTTAATTCTCTACCTTCCTTTGTTCCTTTATAGTTATTACTAATTTATTTGGAATTCCTGCAGGCTCCAAATAATATGGCAAAGTGTGCCAGGTTCTTCCAAAAATGTTTGGAATTTCTAGATGCGCCAGATCATCTGGTACTGTGTTATGAACTGATGTTTTTACTTTTTTTTATTTGTTTGATTACTAGTTCAGGATTTTTGCCAAAATCAAATAAGTCTCAGAAATGAAATGATAACTGTAATTGATATACTGCTGAATAGGTTGTGCGTGCATCTGCACATGAACAATTTGCGAGGCTTATTTTGAACCACGATGAAGAGCTGGAATTAGCGTCTGATGATCTGCCTGTAGGATGTGAACTTACTGTTACTGATGCTGAAGAAGATTCTTTGGACTTTTTAAGTAGCATTTCTGAATCAACAGTCCATGAAGAACCCAGCCTAGTGGGAGAGGAGAAAGCATATGACTATGGTCAAAATGTTGAAGATTTAGTAACTGAAGCTTCGGTAAAGATGACTTTAGAAGCAAATGCATATTCTCCAAGAAAATTGATAGCAGAAGGTAGCATGGACTACGGAGATTTGACAGAAGCTGTACCAAATTCCTCTGGTATTGAAAGCTCTGCAGTTTGCAAATTGCCTGCAACAACCGGACATGTAGTTCAAATTGTTGCTGAACCAATCTCTTCTAAGCTAGCTGCAATACATCATGTTTCTCAAGCCATTAAATCTCTCAGATGGATGCGCCAACTGCAAACTACTGAATCCAAGTTAATGGACCAGGAGAGTGAAACCCATGATAGGCCACCTTCATCTGTTAATCTTTCTGTTTGTGCATGTGGTGATGCTGACTGTATCGAAGTGTGTGACATTAGAGAATGGCTTCCAACATCAACATTGGACCACAAGTTGTGGAAACTTGTTCTTTTGCTTGGAGAGTCATATTTGGCGCTTGGACAAGCCTATAAGGAGGATTGTCAGTTGCATCAAGCTTTGAAGGTTGTAGAATTGGCATGTTCTGTATATGGATCAATGCCTCAGCATCTTGAAGACACAAAATTCATTTCTTCCATGAATAGTTTCTTCTCATCACCAACAAAATTCAATTATACTAATAAAAAGACTACATCATCTATTAGTGATCAGGAAGATCTGAGCTCCAGCTCCACTCATGGTTGTCTTTCTTTCGAGCAGTTCTCGTCCATTTACCTCTTCTGGGCCAAGGCATGGACACTGGTTGGAGATGTTTATGTTGAATTCCATTTGGCTAAGGATAGTGTGATCTGTCCACCAGTAGAGAGAAAATATTCTATTAGAGAGTTGAAAGTTTCATCTGAGGTTGTCAAAGAAGTTAAAAGGCTCAAGAAGAAGTTGGGGCAGCACACGCAAAACTGCAGTTCATGTTCTCTAGTAAATTGCAGCTGCCAGAGTGATAGGGCAAGCAGTGGTAGCAGTGCAAGTAGTAGTGGTGATATGAGCTCAGTAAATTCTGGCAGGAAATACAGTAAAAGACCACATGCTAAGAGCAATGCCTTCCCCCTTTTAAGAGACCCAGAAGATGATAGTCTTTGTTTAAAAATGGAGAATGGAAAGGTTTCTGATTGCGGATATCTAAACCAAAAGAGAAACGGCGAAACCATTGTACAGTCTTCGAGTACAGATAAGTTTGTAGGGAAACATGTGGAATCTGGTAGTTCTGGCAATTTAGAAGGCACTTTAGGAGTGGATGACATGGGGCCAATACTGGCCTCCCAAACTAATTCTTCTCTGAGAGAAACAATGAAATTGAAAAATGGAGGGATATTCAAGTACCTTGGTGGTCCTGCAGTTAGAGATGCTGAAAACAATCTTTCAGAAGCCCTATGCTGTTATGGAGAAGCTACAAAAGCATTAGGTGGTCTTCCATCCAGTTCTGCAGAACTACAATCTATAAGGAAAAAGAAAGGGTGGGTATGCAATGAACTGGGTCGAAACAGGCTTGAAAAGAAAGAATTAAAAAAAGCTGAACTTGCTTTTGTAGATGCTATAAAAGCATTCAGAGAAGTCTCTGATCATACCAACATCATATTGATAAACTGCAACTTGGGGCATGGAAGACGGGCATTGGCAGAAGAGATGGTATCAAAGATTGATAATCTCAAGGGGCATCCGATCTTTCATAACGCATACAACCAAGCATTGGAGACTGCCAAGTTAGAATATAGTGAATCCCTTAAGTATTATGGGGCAGCAAAAGCGGAACTCGATGCTTTTGTTGAAGAGGCTGGCTCTGATTTAAACAGTTTGAGGACTGAGGTATATACACAGTTTGCTCATACGTATCTGAGGCTAGGAATGCTCTTGGCAAGAGAAGATACAACTGTTGATGTCTATGAAACTGGAGTGATGGTAGATGTGCGACGTTCCACCAGCCCTAGTGGCAGAAAATCAAGAAAACAATCACGAAAGCATGAGATTTCAGCCAATGATGCCATCCGGGAGGCACTGTCTGTTTATGAGTCATTAGGTGAATTGCGGAAACAGGAGGCTGCATATTCATATTTTCAGTTGGCTTGCTACCACAGGGATCATTGTTTGAAATTCTTAGAGCCAGATCATAAGAAAAACAACTTATCCAAAGGTGAAAACACAATTATCCAACGGGTCAAGCAATATGCATCCTTGGCAGAGAGGAACATGCAAAAGGCCATGGATTTTTATGGCCCAAAAACACATCCTACCATGTACTTAACTATTCTTATAGAGAGATCAGCTCTTTCATTGAGCCTTTCAAGCCCTTTACACTCAAATGCAGTAAGTTTTTGAACTTGCTTTATACATAATGCTTCGAATTTCAAGTAATGTTTATACACACGCGTGCATGAATTGCACCACATTTAGCTGTGTGCATAATCAATATATAAGCTGTATTTTAGATGAGAAAATTAGTTTTGTTATTTATTTGATGAAGACATAATGCTCCTTTGTTATTTTTCTTTGCAATTTGAGATTTTGTGCTAATTTAGGAATTTTATTAGGGAATTGAATCCTAAAGAGCAATTTTATTCTTGAATTTGTTCCTTTTTAGTGAATTCTTATGATCTTTGCAAAGAGAGGGAATGCTATACAACTAGCCATGAACGGATTATTTCTCTTCTAACTCTTGATTGATCTTAACCCTTTGAATTCCTGGCTGATGCATTTTTAATTCATCTTGATGACTTTCTGACTTGTCCCGTTTATCATCATGGATCATGACATTAAGTTGGTTAGGATTGTAATTTGATTAGGATCTGATCAAGGGATTTAATCTTGATTTGCGGACTGGCCCCTAGACATGATGTACTCTTACTATCGGAAGTTGATTGAAATCCTCTTTATTTTTTTCTTGTCTATCTGTACTGCTGCATCAGTCTTCCTCAGTCTTCACATCAAGCTGTCACGTCCACTAGACGTTTTGTTAGTTATACTGCAATTAATTAGGGAATTGTTATTGGGGCTCCTAAAATCTCATTTTGCGTACCAAACATTATATAATTAGAAAGAAAAATACACTTGTGAGGAGTGTCGAATGAGATTTGTGGAGTGCTAATAACAGTTCCCATTAATTAACATATTTTGGTTTGCAGTTTTTCTTGAGGTTGACCGTTGAATACATGTCATAGTTGCGTTGCATAGTTAGTCTTGATAAGTAAACTGACTACATATTGAATGTTAATGCTATTTTTGTTTGGGAGACTTAGTCATATTACGACTTTATATGATTTTGTGAGATAGTTCTAGACTTGGTTTATATAATCTCGTCTTCCGGTTACTGTTTCTGTTAATAAAATACTCAAAAGAGCTGAAATATTTCTTGTGTTCCAGATGTTGGAATCAGCTTTGTCTTGCTTGCTTGAAGGGCGGTATGTGTCAGAAACAGACTCGGACTGTTTGAAAACCAACCACCCCGAGGTACATGCCAAGTTTTGGAATCAGTTGCAGATGCTTTTGAAGAAGTTGCTGGGGATGGCGCTTTCCTCACGCGCAAGCAAATCTTCGGTTTCTCAGCCAGCTTCAGTATCCAACAGGTGTGGGGATACTGAAAAACTTAGGCAGCTTTACAAATTCTCTCTCAATTCCACAAAGTTGAATCAATTGGATGCTATGCACTTCTTGTGGACATCATAATCTTAATCTGGAAGTCGTTTCTGCGCAACAACCCTATCGTAATTATATGGCGATAACAGATTAGAGAGAGAGGAGAGCGAAAGCTTGGGTTCATAATATTTTGTATTCTGCACGGCATATCATAATACCAAAGCATTGCTTTAGGAATTGAAGGCCAGAGAGAGAGAGAGTACAATATTTTGATATTCTGTTACATGCAATGTATGTATGTATGTATGTTTGTATGTAATGTATGCATGTATTGTATTCATGTATGTATGTATGGATTTATGTAAGTAATATGTTTTGAGTTAACTTGCGCTCCTGTATCAGAATCCTGAAGAAAAATAGAAACTTGCCAAAAGTTGGCTCATCTAGAGCCCGTTTGGTACTCTATATGAGTTTAGGTTTTTCACCTCAAAAGAACAGAACTGGAAGTCTGATGGTTTATAAGTGAGACTTTTCGTGGTTTGTCATCTCATGTTTTTGACATAATGTTTCATAATGTTAGTATGAGAATTGACATTAAATTGTGAAGTGGCAGAGAGTTCATGAAATCTCACTTTTGAGAAAGTCGGCTTAACATTTCTCTTTCTAGTATAGTATATTGGGGGGCATTTAAGAGCACCTCCAATGAAGATGTCAAAAAATAAATATCAAAGTGCAACACAAGTAAGTCAATCATGCTTCATGTTTCAAAGGAGCATTCCCCAAGCAAAAATCCGACATACAAATACGATGAAAATAGCTCAGATCTAAAAGCAAGATCCATTGAAATTGTACGTAACGCCATTTGCTCATTGCACGCTGCCCCTATTATTGTGGAAATGGCGGGACTAGGGACATGCTTTTTAAGCTAACGGGCATTTTTTCTCGAATTCGTCTTGCTCTTTGCGACATAAATCCAATTCATTTGTATTGTAATACATGCATCCAACATAAGCATCCATCTCTTTCGTGCACCTCTGATGAAGATCTTTCAGCCTGCAAGGACAAAATATCGAGGTTAAAAAGAAGCACGTGCTAACACGTATATCAGTCTGTTTGATGTGAGAACTGAAACATTTTAAGCAAATTTCTTGATGAATTCTTTGGGAACTTTGATAGATTGTTTCCAATACCATTATTCCTCAAGTTTTCATAGACATCATCAAATTAACTGGATGATCAAATCACTGGAAAAAAAAACTCCAAATCTTAAATAGTGCAAACATAAGAATGTGATGCAGAATTCATTTGGGAGAAACTCATTATTCATTTTTCATTTGGGAAACACTCTCCTGAACTTAAAAAATAGTTGGTACTCACCGAGTGTAACGAGGATGAAAAGCATAAGCACAAAAAGTGTTCAAAAACGAAGGCTAGTCAGCTAGACCAAATGGCATTGCTCTAAACATTTGTTTGGATAGATGGATACATCGCAATGTATTGAATCACATTATTTAGATTTTTCCATTTCAACAAAGATGGCATAAAAGGTTGGTCTCTAGCTCAACCAAAGAATGGGAATTCTCCACAACCCATGAGCCGCATTGAGCTCATTTGAGCAAGCAATATAACCCATGAGCCACATTGAGCTCATTTGAAATATCCAAGTCGCAAATTCTAATTCTCTATAACCGATGAGCCACATTGAGCTCATTTGAAATATCCAAGTCGCAAATTCTAATTCCCTATAACCAATGAGCCACATTGAGCTCACTTGAGCAATCGATAAAACCCATGAGCCGCATTGAGCTCATATGAAATATCGAGGTCACAAAGTCTAATTCTCTATAATCGATGAGCCACATTGAGCTCATTTGAAATATCCAAGTCGCAAATTCTAATTCTCTATAACCAGTGAGCCACATTGAGCTCACTTGAGCAATCAATAAAACCCATGAGCCGCATTGAGCTCATATGAAATATCGAGGTCACAAATTCTAATTCTCTATAATCGATGAGCCACATTGAGCTCATTTGAAATATCCAAGTTGCAAATTCTAATTCTCTATAACCAATGAGCCACATTGAGCTCACTTGAGCAATCGATAAAACCCATGAGCCGCATTGAGCTCATATGAAATATCGAGGTCACAAATTTTAATTCTCTATAATCGATGAGCCACATTGAGCTCATTTGAAATATCCAAGTTGCAAATTCTAATTCTCTATAACCAATGAGCCACATTGAGCTCACTTGAGCAATCGATAAAACCCATGAGCCGCATTGAGCTCATATGAAATATCGAGGTCACAAATTCTAATTCTCTATAATCAATGAGCCACATTGAGCTCATTTGAGCAACCCAGTCTCAAATTCTATAATCCATGAGCTACATTAAGCTCATTTAAGTAATTAAAGTCTCAAATTCCATACAACCCATGAGCCACATTGAGCTCATTTCAGTAATCCAACCCACAAATTGTATATAACCAATGAACCACACAGAGCTCATTTGAGCAATCCAAGCTTTAAATTCTCCATAAACCATGAGCCCAGTTAATCAAACTTTTCCAATTCCAAAGGAAAAGGGTCCAAAGCATACGAATCTCAGGGAAAAAACTTGAAAGGGCTTACAGGGTAAGAACGCATCGAGTGACTTGGCGACCTTTGTCGAGACACTTCTCAGGGTTTGGGTCCTTCTTCTTGCACTTGAGAAAAGCCACGTTCTCCGCTTGGCAGTTGAACTGAATGTGCTTCGCCGCCGCCGTCAGAACTGCCGATGTTGGGATCGGATCTCCTGCTGGGTCCACTGCGCTCGCCATTTCCCACTTCCTCCGATCGTTTCTGATAAAACAAAAATTTTTAAATTGTAAATTTTCAGATATTAATTGGAAAAGAAAGCGCAGAATTGGTAAAGTCCGCACCTTCACACCTCGTTTCTTCGGTTGAATGAGTTCTCACAGCCGAACATACACACCACCTGAACTGACTTGGCGTTGGAGGAGCAAAAGGAAAGGATCAAAGACCTCTAAAGGGCAAATTTCAATTTTGGCCCATGTAGTTTTCTATAGTTTCAATTGTGTCAATTAGTTTCTAATAATTGTTGCATTTAAAGATAAATCCGAAATTGTAATTGATGAGTGAATAAGGTTATTTTAACCGACCGTCAATTAGGGATACAGCAGTAAACTAGTTATTTATACCCTCACGTTGCTGCGGTTTTTAAAGCAGAATGAAATACTATATTAAAGACTTGAAAAATGAATTTGCAAAGCAATAACAACATTAATAACAAAGAAAATGAAAAAGTTGGAGAAAAGCTTGAATTGTGAGAAGATAGGGATAAAGATGAAGGTTTATGATTGGATCACAGCACTTATAACTGTTTTTTGATTAGGATGATCATATTTACAAACAAAAAATTAGCAGATACTTTCTTACAAGGATACAAAAAATATTAGAGCTATATATTCTACTTTAGCTGTTCTTTGTGCTCTAAAAACTAAACTAGCTTATGTACACAAAACTTTAACAAATGCTGGTATACAAAGGTGCAAAAAATATTGTCTAGTTTTGTGCAGAAAGTGGTATTTACAAACCACCAAAAATATTAGACAAAGTTTAATACAGAGTAGGAAAAGATGCAAAATATACTGTAGCAGAGGAGGAAACATCTTGTAGCAGGAGCATTATCAATGTTGACATTGAGAAACCAACCTGTACAGAGAAAAATAATGCAAGGCATTTAGATAGTGATTAAGTTCACAGCTATGCAATTTTGAAGCAAAGAATTTAGCAAAAATGAAACCATACTGACCTAGTTAATTTTTGGAGGGACTATCTGTTTTTGCAAAAGCTGGAGGTGATTTTTTTTTTTCAGCAATTTGATAGGCATTTCATCAAATTCTTTCGAATCAACTTCTGAAATTTCTTTTGCTTCACTGTTTTAAATGACCATGACTGATGAGCACATTTTATTGGATAAAACATAAAAAATGTTGTCCAACTATAATTCGTATCCCTTTACTTAAATTTTGTCTTAAAAAAAAAAAGATTCTTGACAGGTATATATTAAGCAAAGCAAGATAGCCAGAAAATATGAATATTTGAACACAGGGAAGTAAAATAAAAGTATCAGATTTTATGATACTATGGAGTTTGAATCTATACCTTTGTTCACTGCTAGTAAAAAAAGCTTTCCTCACATACTCCCTCTTTCGTTTATGTGATTCTTCGCTTGTTTCAAGTGGTGAGGTCGAAGATGATACAATAGTGGAAGATATTGTGAGTGCTCTTGGTAAGATCTGTGGAGTTATTGGTTCTATAGCTGTATCATCAGACACATTGTAAATCAGCACATCACTTGAGTTGAAACTATTTTTTCTATTTCCGAATCGCAAGTGGAAAATCTTCTTTTGTCCAATCAGTCGCAAAAACTCATTTGGCAGTTGTTGTTGGTCAATCAATCTCTGATTCATGACCAAATCTTTGCAGGGCATACCAAAGAGTTTTTCTCTAGCTTTGCCAATTATCAAAGCACTAATTTCATTAGTGTTGTCTTCAAGAATCAAATTAACTTTGTACCTATATTTAAAAACTAAATTCCATGAGTTTTTTTTATGGCTTATAACTCATTGTTAACAATCAGAGCAAAGAAGTTTAAAGAATAGAGGTTACAGATTTGAAGTCATTTTTTAGATGGAAAGAAACGGCATGGAATTGAAAATCGTAGAAAAAGTAAAAAAAGACAGAATAACAAACTTGCATATTGAATGTTACCATGGTGTTGGAATTTGGTTGGGGTGTTTCTGACAGATGAGTTGTCCAGTCGATGGGTCCTTATGCATTTGTTTGACACAGCTAGGGCAAGCATTGTACCACCAATCATAACGTGTGTCAAAACGTTTGATAAATGCTTTACATAGGAATGTATCATTCTGTCAAATGTTTTATGACACGTGCATCATAAAAGAGCAACAACAAAATTAGTTTTTGTTCAATATGTAAAAATGTAGGTAAATGTTTTTTTTTTAAAAGATAGAAAAGCATAAATCGTTTAAATACCTTATACAAATCAGGATTCAAAAAGGCCAACTCATCTATTGTTACTCTTCTTGCTGTACGTAGAATTTCAGCCTCATTTGCCTGCCTTAAAGAAGGAGGCAGTATTTTTATAGGGAGTTTACAGGTTGAGAACCTGCAAGTTTAAAAAGAAAATAAGAAATTTTGAAAAGTCAACATGTTTAGAGGTTTTGACAAGAATGACGATTTTAGAAGTGCACTGACATTGATTTATATGAGTTAACCTACGGGATGTCTGTGTCGATGAAAAAAATGGAGGAGCCAGTACTATTCAAGACGATGTTCTATGTTGATGGCAAAAAATAATACCAGAATTGTCAAACAAATATTAGCAAATATCATAGATGTGTAAATATTTTTAATTGGATGGTAGATGTTTAAATGTGAGGAAAAAATTGTAATGGATACATATAAAAATGTGGTAAAATAATTTGAACATGCAATGCTAGAAACGAAATACAAACTTTAGCAAACAGGTTCTAACAGTGTATAAATAAGAAATAAAAAAGAAAAACAAAATAAGATATCAAAATTATGTCATAAAGAGTAGCAATCAAATACAGTAAAATTCCATAATGATAAAAGAGTGGAACAATTTATAGCGAGAAATGTAAGAACATATCCAAATAAAAATAGAAAAAGTGGGTTTTAGTTAAATGAGCTATCTAGGTAAATCTTGACTTTTAAACTTGTAAACACAACAATAATTGGCAAAGACAACTTCTGGATCGATAAAGAACGAAAAGCTTCTGCAATATCTGCCCACAATGTAACAGACAATTCTTCTTTTTTGTGCACAAAACAAATGAGAAACAAACACTAAATTTTCTTCCCAGCCTAATAGAGAAAATGATATTAACAAATTGGAATTGCAACAGTTAAAGAAAAGAACAACTTGATATTCTCAATGTGTATATCACACTTTTGCGTTATTCTTTGATTAATCTATTTTGATTCTAATTGTTGGACTGTAGTTATATGGTCAATCACATCCTATAATTTAAAAAGTTAATACAAAAATAATGTCAAAACTCATTTCAGTGAAAAAACAACAAAAATGTTTTTAATTGATGGACATGTAGATACACACACACACACACACACACATATATATAGACAAATATACACGTATTGATGTTACCCATAAGAATATCATCTCTGTTCAGACGGGGATAGAGCATGTTGAAATCTAGTAGGAAAAACCGATGTCGAGGGATGGGTGGAAAGACGATAGACAGTTTTTTAATCACTGTTGTACCAATGAATATAACCTGGGTTTCATGCGGCACCACTTTATATTGTCCTCTAATTTTGATCATGTGAAAATTCATGATTTCGTAACAACTATCAACGTCAATATTTGAGGCTACCAGTTCACAATCGATGTCTGATGCAGATGCTTCAACCGCATTGTTCTTCGTAATTGATCACTTGCCATATTAAGAAAAAAAAATAAGAATAATAACAGAATTAAAAAACTTATGAGCAAGTAAATAGCAAAAAACATTATATTTTAGTACAGAGATATTGAATGAGCACAGTGGGTAAATAAACTAACTGAAAATATGTCAACTACCACAACCAAGATTTACAAAACACTTTAGACATGTTAAAAAAATCAAACTGTTGAAAGAAAAAAAGAGAAATATAAATTAACAAACTAACAAATGAAAAAAAAAAACTTATGACATAACTATAACTATTAAAATACTTAATTTAAATTATGGGACAATGATGACTTACCGTTTCATCAACCAAGATACAGCGTAGTGTTACGTATTTGCAAACAGTTGCAGTAGTGCTAGATTTCCATATCCTACAGACACGAATCTTTATTTTGTCCGATTTAGTGTAAGGACGTAATTCTGCAATAGGGGTGACCTTAACTGTTTCCATTGAATATGTTAAAAGAGAAATAAATTTTATAAAGATAAGAATCAGCATGACACAAATCTGTAAACAAATATGAAAGAAATGATTGATTTCTTTCATTCCTAATTAAATAAATGGTTAAAATAATTTTAACATAACTATTACAAAACCGATAACCACTACATAAACTCGAAATTCCAAAAATAAAAAGGACTCAGAAAAGAAATAAGCCAACCAAAAGTAATTAAAGAACTAAATTTGACAAAAAAAAAATACAATTCATATTAGGATAGTAAGACAAATGATCACACATTAACAGATGACAAAGAATAACTATTATGAAACACTTAACACATTATGAAAGCAGTAAAACAACAGTTGGAAAAAGCAAACTAAAGAGGAAACCAAATATCAATTACCAAAAGTAGAAAATGTGAAGCACTTGTCCCAAAAGGGAAAAGCAGGGTTAAGGAAATATAATCAATTACTTTCCCACACTGCAAATGCATAAACCAAAAAGAAAAACACTTACTAAGTTAGTTTTAGTAAGTGAAGAAAGAAATAGAAGACAACTATGTCTGTCAGGTGGCACGGGTGTAAATTGTTGTTTTTTTCCTTCAATAAATATAACTTTACATTAATGTGAAGCGAAAATAAACACAAATATGAAACAATCAGGTATCCATGGTACTCAGCTAAATTTCAAAGCATTGACAACAAATTTAATATTCTATAGCCCAAATGATCACCAAATATTTAACCAACTAATTAATAAAGCATTTGAGCATCACATGACTGAAAACCTAAATCTCAAGCTTTATATATCGATGTGCACGGAAAAGAACTAACTTGACAACAAACAATATTAATGCAAATCTATAGATAAAGAAAAAAAATCCAAAACGTTTGAACACTATTGTAGAACAAAGCACATCGCATTGTGATCTTGAAGTGAACCCCCACTGACAATCTAATACTGCGAACTTATTTAAGTTCAAAAATAATATAAGATGTTAAACTTGAATTAACAAACTATACAACCTATATAAAAAAATAAAAAGTAATTTTAATTAAGTATACAAAATTGGAAAGCAGGATTTAATATGGAAAAAAGGATTCAAAACTGGAAT